AGAGCAGCTGTGGGGTTTCAGTGGTCACAAAGAACAGCTAGGTTGCCCTCTCCTTTTGCCCAAACAACTCTGGAAAAACATCAGTCCAGAATTAGTGATTTTGGAGTTGTTCTGCAGAATGGCAGAGGAGCCAGAGTGGCCTGCAGGATCCGGGAGCACAGAGAAGGGGCAACATGCAGGACCAGGTGTCTGGGAGCCTGAAGAAGGGCTGGTGTGCAGGACCAGGGGCCCAAGAGCCCAGAGAAGGGGTGGCATGCAGGACCAGGGGGTCCGAACGCCCAAGGGAGCTGAGTGCATAACTAGGCAACATCACAGAGAGAGAGCACCCACGAGGCTTGGGGCATGGTGTAGGAGAGGCATGGAGGCACACAAGGGGCCCTTAAAGTGCCAGGTGCCCGGCAGAGGTACAGACAGGCTGACAGAGCCTGCTTTCTGGGGGGCACAAGACTGTGACTGAGGGGACCCAAGATAGTCCTAGTGGGGATCAACAGAGGCTCATGAAGAGCCTGTGGGGAAGGGTAGGCAGCTTCCCTTTTATGACCTTCATTAAGAGCAAGGCATGGTGGGTGAGATTCAAGGGAAGAGCTGCAGCCCAGCCTGAGCCAGACAGGGGCCACAGAGCTACCAGGGAGCATCAAAGCCACCCCTGGGGCTGTGGGCCTGCTACACCTGCTTCCCAGGAGGTAGGAGGGAGTTGTGGCTGGGTTCTCAGCTGCTGCCCTTGGCTGAGACCTATTTGATGAGCCGGCATTGAGATGCTGTAGCCAGTCGGGCAAACAATACCCTGGCATGCATCAATCTATGCGTCTCCAGCAAAACCAAGGAAGTGATTCTTCTGCTCTACTCAGCAGCTGGAGTACTGCGTCCAGGTCTGGCACCACACTTTAACAAGGACATGGACAAGCTTGAGAGAGTCCAGAGAAGAGCCACCACTGCCGCACCGGGCAGGGGGAGGGAGCTGCTCTCGCTGCCTCAGGCAGGCAGAGGCGGGAGGCGGGAGGCAGGGAGGGAGCCAGCCCCAGTGCAGACAGAGCGGCAGAGGTGGGCAGGGGAGAAGGAGCCACCTCTACCACCTATGTCATGAGTTTTGCTTTCAGGACTTTGAGGTGCAGTTTTCCAGAAACCCCTGCACCCATCACCTTGAAGCTTGACATGCATCCTGCCCTCAGCAGCAGCTACCACCCCTGCAAGTTTCATCTGAATCAGCCACAAAACAACAAAGTTATAGATATTGCATTTTTTCCCCATTACACCCTATGGCCGAATCTCTGAATCGCCAAATCTTTTCCAAATCTTTTCTGAATCGATTCAGCTGAATTGAATCAGAAAAGCAATTCGGATCTCTGAATCAAATCAGATGAATCCGAATCATCTGAATCGAATAGTTGCCTATTCGCACAGGCCTAGTGGGGAGGGAGCTGCCACCGCAGCCGTCTTAGGCAGGGAGGCAGAGGGGCCGAGGGAGAGGGAGCCATCACCACTGTTGCCGCTGCTGCCACCTCAGGCAGGGAGATGGAGGCAGAAGTGGGCAGCATGGAGGGAGCCGTCATCACCGCCACCTCGGTCAAGGAAGCGGAGGCGGCTGGGGAACAGGGAGTCACTGAGATGGGTGGTTGGAGACTCCCTTCTGCAGGGCATGGAGGGATCTACATGCCAGCCTCACTTGTCATCCCGGGAGGTCTGGTGCTTGCATGGAGCCTGGATACGAGATGTCACAGAAGGATTACTGACACTTGTCCGGCCCTCTGACTACCACCCCATGCTGCTCATCCATGTGGGCACCAATGATGCTGCCAGGGGTGACCCTGAGTAGATCAAGAATGACTTCAGGGCTCTGGGTGCAAGGGTGAAGGGGACGGGGGCACAGGTGGTCTTGTCTTCAATCCTTTTGGTCAAGGGAAAGGGCCCTGGCAGGAGCAGATGCATCCTGCAAATCAATGCATGGCTGTGCAGATGGTGTTGCCAGCAGGGATTCGACTTCTTCAACCACGGGATGTTGTTTCAAGAAGAAGGATTGCTAGGATGAGATGGGACCCACTTGACAGGTTACCAAGAGAGGTGGGGAGTGGAATCTCCACCTTGGCAGTTTTCAGGGCCCAGTTTGACAGATCCCTGTCTGGGATGATCTAGGTGGGGCTGGCCCTGCTTTGAGCAGGGGGGTTGGACTACATATGACTTCCTGAGATCCCTTCCAACCCTCATTTTCTCTGACTCTATGGAGCTTCCACCACCTCTCTGAGTAACCTGCTCCAGTGCTTTACTACCCTCCTCGTGAAAAAGTCTTTCCTTCTTACCAAACTAAACTTCATTGCTCCTTGTCCTGTCATCTGCCACCACTGACATCAGTCTAGTACCATCCTCTCTGAAACAACCCTTCAGGTAGCTGAAGGCTGCTATTCAATTCCCCGCTCAGTCTTCTCTTCTCCAGACTAAACAAGCTTCTCAGAAGTCATGTGTCCCAGCCCCCAAACCATATCATTTGTCTTCTGCTGGACTATCTCCAGCTTGTCCACATCCTTTCTGTAGTGAGGGGCCCAAAACTGGACACAGGACTCCAGATGTGGGCTCGCCAGTGCTGAATAAAGGGGAAGAATCACTTACCTCCTCCCAAGGCAGCCCAGGATGCCCTTAACCTTCTTCACAACAAGGGCACACTGTTGGCTTTTACTTAGTTTATTGTCCACTGTAACCACCAGGTCCTTTTCTGCAGAGCTGCTGCTTAGCCTGTTGGGCCCCAGCTTGTAGCAGTGCATGGGATTGCTCCACACTAAGTGCAGGACTTTTCTTGTTGAACCTCAGGAGATTTCTTTTGGACCAATCCTGGCTGAAAGGGATCT